CGCCTGGCTCTGCCTCCCGAGTGCTGGGATTAAAGGCACGCGCCACCACCGCCCGGCTATTTTTTGGTTTTTCAAGACAGGGTTTCCCTGTGTATCACTGGCTGTCCTGGAACTCTCTCTGTAGACCAGGCTGGTCTCAAACTCAGAGATCTGCCTCCAGAGCTGGGACTGAAGGCATGTGCCAGCACCACCAGGCCACACCAAGTGCTCTTGACCAGGGAACCATGACTCCAGCTCCCCATGTTGTATTTTGTATTTGAGACAGGATCTCAGCTACGTTACTGGTGCTGATGCTGAACTCACCGTGAAGTTCCTGTTGACCTGGAATTTGAGATCTTTCTGCCTCAGCCTCCTGAGTAGCTAAGATGACAGGCAGGTACCATAAGACACAGAAGGCCGGGCTCTGAAATCTTTCATTTGAGGGAAGGTCTAGATTCTCTTCCCTTGTCAGCTGGCCCTCCCTTCAGATCATGGTCTCTATCTTAGGAAGTCCAGCTCCCTCTGGGCCACACTCCGTATTTCTCATCCGCCCAGACTGTCCCTGTGCTCCTTACCCTCTACTTATTGTAGTAGGTCCCCTGTGTCATGCTGGCCTCGAGCAGAAGTGGCCAACGGTCTGGGAATACTCGGGGTTAGCGGGTGTGGGGGAGACGGGGAGGTCAATTCCAGAAATTCCCCAGAACAAAGTGAAGACCCGGGGCTCGGACCATAGTTCAGTTGGTAGAGCCGCACGGTCAGCGTGCAGGAAGCCCCAAGTTCCATCCCCGTCACAGCACAAACTGACTTTACCATGGTGCACACCTAAAATCCCAACACCAGGAAGGCGAAGGCAGGAAAATCAGAAGTTCAAGGTCAACCTCAGTCAGCTACATGGACTCTGAATTCAAAAACAAACAAACAAAACACAGAAAATCAGGGTGCAGACCTGCTGCCCATGCAATGTCTGAAATACCAACGCTAGGAAGGCCAAAAGAGTGGACTCAAGCCGGGCAGTGGTGGCGCACGCCTTTAATCCCCCCACTCTGGAGGCAGAGGCAGGTGGATCTCTGTGAGTTCGAGGCCAGCCTGGTCTACAGAGCTAGTCCAGGACAGGCTCCAAAGCTACACAGAGAAACCCTGTCTGGAAAAAAAAAAAAAAAAAAAAAAAAAAAAAAAAAAGTAGACTCAAAGGGCCGGTGTGGGAAAGACTCTGTCTCAAAAATAAAAAATTAAAAAATTAAGGTTCAACAAGCTGGCTCAGCAGGTAAGGGCGCTTGCCGCCAAGCATAACAACTTGAATTCCATCCTTGGGACCCACATGATGGAAGGAGTGGGCCGACCCCACAAAAGCTGTCCTCTGACCTCCATGCACACACACCCATCCCACAATAAACAAACAAACAAATAAATAAATGTAAAGGTATTAAAATAATAATAATAATAATAATAATAATAATAAATACAAGCCGGTGTGGTGGCTTACTCAACACTTAGGAAGCTGAGGTAGGAGAATTGCTTATAGTTTGAGGCCACCCTTGGCTACATAATGATTTCTAGGCCAGCCTATGATACATAGTAAAAGCCTGTGTCTGGGGGGAGGCAGAGGCTGCAAGATCGGGAGTTCAAGGCCACCCTCGGTGACATGGCAACTTGAAGATGAGCTCTTCTCAAACAGATGAAGGAAGGAAGAAAATGTGGGAGACCTCTGAGTTTTGGGCACGAGGCTTCTTCATGTCACATGTAGGGGAATAGCTTACTCCCCAACTCTCTCCCCCTTGGTGTGATCCTGGACCAGTCTTGGCCTCTGAGGGGTGAGGCTTCTGATCTCTGTGGGCCTAACTACAAGGCAAGGGGCAGGGAGCCCTTGCTGGGCCCTTCCTAATCGATGTCACTGTGCATCTGCAGATCTGGGAGAGGTGGGGCTGCAGGAGGCTAGAGGGCTGGGCCCAGCCTACAGCGCAGCAGCATCGAGGAAGCTCGCCAGCTCCTTCCCCAAGTGTGACTTTTATAAATAAGCTCCCTTCTTCTTCCTTCCAAATGTGGTGGTGCTGGGTGGGGGAGAAAGAGGAGGAGGCAGAGGAGGAGGCACAGGGAGGGAGGGCACACAGATGCCACGGATGCGTCCGGCAGCATCAGCACCAGCGTCTCCATCCCTGGTGACTCTGTGGTTTTAAAACCCCGGCTCCCGGGCTGCAAAGGCCCCTGCAAATTCAGTCACAATCGGAAGACCTAGGACCTCTTCTCAAGCCCCCAAGAAGCTGGGCTCTGAGTTTTTCCTCTCTCTCTTTTCTCACATACCCCATGCTACCTAGCATCAGAATCCCTGTTGGGCCAAGAATGATGGTGAATTCCAGATCCTTCTGCCTCCAACTCCCAAGTGCTGAGACAACTGCCAGGTGTGCCCCAACACGCCTGGTTTGTGCCAGGCAAGCCCTCAATCAGCTGAGCTACATTTCTAGTTCCAAGTGTCTCTCTTTACATCTCATAAACAGGAACCCTAGGACAAGGAGAGCCAGGAACTTCTTTTTTCTTTCTTTCTTTCTTTTTTTTTTTTCAATACAGGGTTTCTCTGTGTAGCCCTGGCTGTCCTGGAACAGGACCAGGCTGGGCCTCGAACTCACAGAGATCTGCCTGCCTCTGCCTCCCGGGTGCGGGATGAAAAGCATGCGCCACCACGGCAAGGGAGTTCTAAGAATAGTAGCAGCCCTCAAGACTCTTTCGCCCCAGCCATGCCTAGACCAGCTAGACCCTTGATGGACAAGGCCGGCTGGCCGTGAGGACCATCTCTGGGGGCTTTGAATCTTGGCTGGAGTAGAACGCATGTAGAGTTCATTTGAAGCCAAGTTAGCCATTCCCATGTGGGGCCAGCTAGGCTGGTGTTGGGGACATAGCTCTAGGTTCAAGCTTTTGGTGTTTTGTTTTGTTTTTTCGAGACAGGGTTTCTCTGTGTTGTTTTGGTGCCTTTCCTGGATCTCGCTCTGCAGACCAGGCTGGCCTCGAACTCACAGAGATCCTCCTAGCTCTGCCTCCCAAGTGCTGGGATTAAATGCATGCGCCACTACCGCCCAGTTCAAGGTTTTTTTGTTGTTTTTTTTTTAAAGATTTATTTATGTACGTATATGAGTGCTCTGTCTTCCTGTATGTCTGCACACCAGAAGAGGGCATCAGATCCCATTATAGATGGTTCTGAGCCACCCACCATGTGGTTGCTGGGAATTGAACCCAGGACCCCTGGAAGAGCAGCTAGTACTCTTAACCTCTGAGCCGTCTCTCCAGCCCCAGGTTCAAGCTTTTTTACAACCCAAGCTGATCTGCCACCCCTCCAACAAACCAGCAGGCCCCTTTTGCTGTGACTGAGTTCTACCCTTAGCAGAGAGGCTGGAAGCTGATGGGCCAAACGCAATCATAAGGAAAGGCCTGTGCTCCTCGAAGCTTAGTTCCCTCGAATGCCGGACGCACGAGGTACGCCAAGACGTGCACGCGACCATGTGCACTGCCACCCATCACCTGCACATGCTATCTGACTCGTGGTGACACCAGTCTGACGAGTTGGCGCACACTGTCATCTCAGCACTCATGAAGCTGAGGCAGGAGGATTGCTCTGAGTTTAAGATCCAACTGGGCTACATAGTTCCAAGCTACCTTGGGCTACAGAGAAAGGTTTTATTTAAAAAAAAAAAAAAAAAAGCCTAAATCATAAAAAAAAAAAAAACCAAACAGCACAGGAAACTTGAGGGCGTTGACAAGGGACTGTTGAAAGGCTATATATGACATGAGAGACTGTCTGCTTCCTTTGAAATAGATGAGGCACTGGGTACCCAGCCAAGAACAATCCAGGTCTGAAGGCAGGTGGGGGTCGGTTGCAGGTAAAATAAGAGGAAGGGCAAGACTGGAGAGCACAAATATGGTTGGTATTATGGTAGGGAGATCCGGGCACAAAAGGAGAAGCCAAGCAGAAATCACAGCCATTAGGTCAAAAGCACAAAGCCCAAACTTTCCATGAAAGGCTGTAAGTGGGGCACAAGAGAAGGGATCTCGGAAGCGACCCAGCTGGGGTGGGTGGGCGGCTGGGGGCTCCCAGAAATCAATGGGTGGAGTTCGCTGGGGATGGGTAGCTGGGGAACTGGATAAGAGACCCTGATAAAGTGCCCTTATTCAACCCTCCCTCGGGCTAGCTTAATTTCTGTCCCTCTATGGTCTGAGACCAGAGAAGGACGCTCCCCTGTGTGCTAAGAGAAGGGGACTGGGGTCTCAGGATTCAGAGATAATAGTTCAAATTTAGAACCATTCTGCAGCCTTCTACTCATCTCCAAACCCCGCCCCAAGAGCCACACCCCAGAGGCCTCCGTCATACAGGTAGGAAAATAGATCCAGGTCGCCGCCGCCTTTTAGGGCTGGAAATCCAGGAAGGGTCTGGGCAACGCCAGCTTGGGTTGCCTAGAAGCCCAAAGGTGGACCAAGGGTAGGTATGGATGAGTCCTTTGGTCCAGAGTAAGCCAGGGATCCCTAAAACGACCGGGGTGGATCGGGAGCCACAGGTGATGGGAGCCACAGGTGATGGGGCGCCCCAAGAGACAGCTCCCGCAGAGGCCACCCCCACCCGGCGGCCTCAATTCCGCAGCGCGCCCAAGGATGGAGTTGGGAGGGGAACTCTGGGCAGGGGGTGGGGGAGACGAGAGGCTCAGCCTCCAGGGGACAGTACAAGGACGGCGACAAGCGGGCGGGGAACAGGTCACGATTTTGCCTCCCGCCACCGAAACCCCATAACAGCTCCTCCAATCGCCCCCAAACAGAAGCGCCCCGAAAAGTTCCTCAAGACCCCAGCCATCAGTCCCGGTGCTGACGAGCTCGAGTCCGTGACCCGAAGTGGATCGGAGGGGTGGGACTCCCAAGGGGGTTCGGAGGGGTCCCCCAGGCTTGCAAGGCTGCCTCTGTCCCCTTGTGGACGCCCCGGTGGGCTGCGGGAGCCGAGTGGAGAATTGCGGGGCGCGGGGCGAGAAGCGCGCGGGGATCGGACTCACCGTGCGGAGCTCCTGGGTTCGGTCCTTCATGCTCCCGGGAGTGGCAGTAGGCGCCGGCTGCAGCCGAGTGAGCCCCGCATGCGCGGATGCCGCCCCGCGGCTGCGCAGCGCCAGCCCGCGCCCCGCCCCGGTCCCTGGGACCCCCAAGCCCAACCCCAGCTGGCCACGCCCATCATCCTTCCGCGCCGGGATAGATCCCGCCCAGAGCTCCGCCCCCGGGGAGCCCAAAGGGTACAAATCTAGCTAGCAGTCGGGTTCTGGTATCTCCTCCCCGCGTCCGCGAGTGATCTCTCCCTCGACATGGCTCCAACTCCCTCGCCCTCCCCTGCCCCAGCCTCCACCTCTGCTCAGCCACCCTGTGTCTCTATCCAGATCCTGGATCCAGACCCTCAGAGCCCTTCCCATTCCCTGGATTTGCTGGAGTAGACGCCCACTTTGTTTTAAAGGACTGTGTAGCCCAGGCTATCCTTGAACTAACTCCTGCTTCTGCCTCAGCCTCGAGAGTCCAGGGTTTGCAGGCATGAGCCTCCCTGCCTGGTTTGAAAGCCCCGTCCTGAGTGGACTACCTCAGGACCTCTAGCATTCCCTCTCTTCCACAAGTCAAAGTCCCGACCTCCATCCTGTCCTGAGATGGCTGAACCCGTAAAGGTGCTTGCCACCAAGCCTAAACATCTGAGTTCTATTCCTGGGACCCACGTAATATACGTTATCCTCTGATCTATATGGCACACCTATGTAGAACCACACAAAGGAGGCAGGGGGATGAGTGAATATAAAATAAAATAAAATAAAAACCCCTCTCTAGAGTGCTCAGCCTTCCCACCTCTCTGAACATCCTCCTGTCCAGACCAGGACCTTGCCTCCTGTCCCAGTGTTTCTCAGCTCATCCGTTGGATTGAGGACCACTGACTTTCTCTTTACCCACAATAATAAAAATGTTTGGCCGGCCGCGGTTAAAAGCACTGGCTGCTCTTGCAGAAGTCGTGAGTTCAATTCCCAGCAACCACACGGTAGCTCAGAACCATCTATAATGGGATCTGATGCCCTCTTCTGGCATGCCCTACATGTGAAAGGACCTGATGACCGAACCAGGGCCATAACAGGCTCCCCTGGCAGCCCTGACAGGCACCAGGCCTTAGTTTCAGTTCACTAGAACGGGCTGGAGCTGAGTAAGCAATTCTCAAGAAAACCGCCAGTTAGGGGCGACCAATCAACAGGTGCCCCCCCAGCCTCCTGCCGGCTCAGCAGGCACCCCAAATCCCTTCTGCTGGCTGAGCAGATGCCCGCCCAAGGCTTCTGCTAGCTAGAGCTAGCTTTCTCTACCCTCTTGTCAATAAACCCCTAAACACTAGACCCCACCGCAACCAATGGGCCCCACAGGCTCCCACCAATCAGCTCCCAGACTAATCTTTCCTCCACCAATCAGCACCATATTAATCCCTGCTCCCTGGAATTCCCCTAACTCCGCTTAACCGGCTTGCAAGCCTCCTTCGAGGTCACTATTTGCCACCCCATCATGCTGGAAATAAACGCTCTTGCTAAATTGCTATGTGACCGTTGGTCTTTCTTGGGGGCTTCTCTTGGACCCTAACACATGCAAGCAGAGTATTCACCAAAACAACAACAACAACAAAATGTTTAGCCAGGTGGTGGTGGCGCACGCCTTTAAACCCAGCACTCAGGAGGCAGAAGCAGGTGAATCTCCATGAGTTCGAGGCCAGCCTGCTCTACAGAGCGAGTTCCAGAACAGCCAGGGCTACACAGGCAAACTCTTTCTTGGAGAAAAGAAAAAAGAAAAAAAGAAAAGAAAAGAAAAAAGAAAGGTTCCCTATGCCCACCCTTTTCCTCATGCCTCCACGCCAGAGTTCAAATGCCAGGCCTGATGTTTTATTTCCTGTGTGGAAGCTTCAGGCTACTCAGACCCGGACCCAGGGGAAAGCAGTACCTGTGGAGAAATGTGAATGGTGTGCCAGTCCACAGGCATGGACCTTTTAGTCCCCTGCCAGCATCTGGTCACAGAGTAGAAACACACACACACACACACACACACACACACACACACACACACACCTCCTACCTCCTCATCTACCCACCCCCTGCTGCTGATCTTCTGTGTGAATGGTCTCAGGCTTTCTTGACCCCGAGCCAAGCACACTCATACCTCTTTGTACCTCAGAGTTACCAAGGCATGGTTCTGGATCCGCTCCAGCCGCCTGCTGTGCCCGGTGTGTCTGGCCCTGGCGCCTCTCCCAGACTTTCAGCGAAGGTTAGACGGCTGGCTGGCAGGCAGGCTGGGACACTGGTTCAGCCTTCCCTTTCTCCCTAGAAAATCTGACAGGAGATAAATGTGGCCTGGCGTGGGAGACAACCACATCCTTCCCGGTTGTCCAGACGTCAACATTCTGCTATATTTTATTTTTAATATCATTTATTTATGTGCATGGCAATGCCACAGCAGACAGAGAGAGGTCAGGGGACAACTTGCAGGAGCCGGTATTCTGCTTCCACGATGTGGGTCACAGAGATCAAACCCAGGTCATCAGGCTTGGCAGCACGTGCCTTTACTCAATGGGCCATCTCATCGTGCGTGCGTGCATGCTTAAAAAAAAAGGTCTCTTGTATCTCAGGTTGGCCTCAAACTTGCTATGGAGCTAAAGATATCAAATCTTTGATCTTCCTGCCTCTGTGTTGCTAAAATTCCTTCCCCCACTATAAGGTCCCCAAAGCAAGCCAAGGTAGGATGCCACCAAAGTTGACTCTGGGACATCAACGAGTCTGTTGGCCGTACTTACAGGGCACAGGTGAGGGATCTCTTGCAGGTGTATGAATACTTCTCTCCAAAAGGCCACCCTGGAAAGTCTGCTTACTTGGGATGATGATTTTTCACATGGTTGCATGGATGGTGTCCGTTCCCTTAGGTCTCCCCACACTCAGACTCTAGCCGGTGTTGGGGATTTAGCTTAGTGGCAGAGCACTTGCCTAGCAAGCACAAGGCCCTGGGTTCAGTCCTCAGCTCCGAAAAAAAAAAGAAAAGAAAAGAAAAAAGACTCTAGCCCTTCCCTAAAACACCCCCCATGCTCCACATGAGAGCAGAATTATATATCCAACTGGATGGGAGGAATGCCTGGATACTCAGGTGAGGGTCCCATGAACCTCTCTGCTCCCTCTTCTGTGAGGAAAGTTCACCAGTCAGCAAGGCAGTCTGGGATGATGTTTTGGACAGGCTCAGCCCAGCTCCTGAAGATGGTGATAGGCTGGCTCAGAAGATAGTGCTCTACAACAAATACTCCACCTCCCAAGTGCTGGGGTCACAGATGTGTCCCATCACCTCCCATTTTATACACCGCTGTAGATGGAACCCAGTGTTTCATGCATGCTAGGCAAGCACTCTATCAACTGAGTTACATGCCCAGCCCCCCCCTTTGTATTTTGAGTTAGCCCCTCACATTGCTGGAACACACTGTTGTCCAGGCTAGCTTCAAAGTTAAGATCCTCCTGCCTCAGGCTCCTGAGTACTGGAGTGGAGGTTCAGTGGGCCACCATACTCTGGTCATCTCTACCCTGTGTGCTCCACAGGGCCCATCTGATGACAGGGGGAGCTGCCCGGCCCCGGATCTAGTGGGTTTCCTGTGTTCAGGGAGAGTCAGGGCTATGTCACGGCTGTGTCCTCAGAGCTCAGTGTCTGGCTGAATGCAGAGACTTCAGGAAAATGAGACACAGCTGCTTCCAGAGAAAGCCACGGTATCTTGCCAACATCACTCATGTGGACATGTTAAATGTTAGCATGAAAAATGAATGAAGAAATGAAAGTGTGCACTTCACATTAATTTTTTTTTTTTGATTAGCAAGTACTCTGCTGCAGAACCATGACCCTATTCATTCACTGGGGGATTCTAGGCAGGGGCTCTACCACTGAGCCACACCCCAGCCCCTCACTGGGGGATTCTAGGCAGGGGCTCTACCACTGAGCCACACCCCAGCCCCTCACTGGGGGATTCTAGGCAGGTGCTCTACCACTGAGCCACACCCCAGCCCCTCACTGGGGGATTCTAGGAAGGGGCTCTACCACTGAGCCACACCCCAGCCCCTCACTGGGGGATTCTAGGCAAGGGCTCTACCACTGAGCCACACCCCAGCCTCTCACTGGGGGATTCTAAGGAGCTCTCCATGGAGTTACATTCCTAACCTCTTCCAGGCTGGCCTAAACTCACTATGTAGCCCACTCAGACTGCCTCAGACTTGGTGCAATCATCCTGTGTCAGTCTCCCAAGGGAGGGAGACTATAGGCACCATCACTCCTGGCTTGAGAATTACAATGTAAATCCTCTCCCTCCGTCCTCCCTGCCCTGGTGTGCATATGTGTGTGTGTGTGTGTGTGTGTGTGTGTGTGTGTGTGTGTGTAGAGTGGTTTGTGTGAGATCAACCTCTGCTATTGTTCATCAAGTGCTTTTAAAAAAAAACATCCTTTATTATATAATTCCTATCTCTGTGCCAACTTGCTTTTGTCTTTTAAAAATATTTATTTATGATTTTGTTTCTATTATCAGCTTGATACAGTACAAATTCTTATCCTAACAGTGAAATGTTTCACCGAGGCTTGCCCAGTGATTGAGTAAAACCAAAGCTTATTATAAGCCACAGTCGTCCTAGGGTCCCCCCTGCTATGTAGCCTCCCTGGATATGTGGGTTGCAGTCTGATTGTTCTTTGCTTTATATCTAGTATCCACTTATGAGTGAGTACATACCATGTTTGTCCTTCTGGGTTTGGATTACCACACTCAGGATGACATTTTTTAGTTCCATCCATTTACCTGTAAATTTTCATGCTGTCATTGTTTTTCTCTGCTGAGTAGTACTCCATTGTAATGTACCACATTTTCTTTCTTTCTTTCTTTCTTTCTTTCTTTCTTTCTTTCTTTCTTTTTTTTTTTTTTTTTTTTTTGGTTTTTGAGACAGGGTTTCTCTGTGTAGCTTTTTGCCTTTCCTGGAACTCGCTTTGTAGACCAGGCTGGCCTCAAACTCACAGAGATCCGCCTGGCTCTGCCTCCTGAGTGCTGGGATTAAAGGCGTGCGACACCACTGTCTGGCTAGTACCACATTTTCTTAATCCATTCTTCAGTTGAAG